AGACACAGGGTAGCTAAGGCGACTAGAGCCGCTTGACCCAGGGCCTGAAGGACCCAGCTATGGAAGATATCTTCTCCTAGGTCATGATTTCAGCATCCCTCTTGCCTATGAGCCCCTCTGTGGCATCCTTTCGGGGTTGAGGGATGTGGTGATGATAGAGCTTGGCAGGGCCATCTGCCAACCTGCTGCCAGGACCTCTTCACACAGGGGTCTGTGGAGAAACTCACCTGGGTTGAGGCTGTGGGGTGGGACAGGTCCTGCCTTCCCCAGACCCTGTCGGAATGCCTGACATGCAGGCTGTGTCCCATTAAATTTCCGGGAGGGGAAGAGGTTTCAAGAAAGGCCATTCGGCTCTGCTGTGGTCCCTCAGGGAAGGAGGGGCGAGATCCTGCTTCTGAGTGATACAAAGAGACAAGCCGACGCTGGGTGCTAGTGCCCCAGGGTGATGATGGGGTACCTTGAGATCTCAGTCTTAGCTTTTTCTTACAGCAGCATGCTTGTGCCAGACCTTTGATTCAGAGCCCTCGGGCGCTAAAGGTTGGAGAAATTCTGAGCTAATCTTCCCTTCTGCCTTTGGGGTTTTTTTTTCTTTTTAAACAAAGCTTCTCGGGAAAGTGACCTTAAGGATTGTCTGATCAACATTCACGCAGTCCTTACACCATAGCAACGTACACATGTATGGTTAATTATGAACAGCAACTCAATATGGAGGAGGGAAGTGTGTGAAAGGTATATCCCAACACACTGACTGCCTGTTGTGTCTTGCTCAAATGCATAAAACTGCCTAAAAGAAGGGGACTTGATTCTTGCTGACTTTCTGCCTTTGGGTAACAAGGTAAATAATGGGGACTCATATTTGCTTGACAAACATCTTGCTCCTGTTTTCACTGTTGTACTATTAAAAGTCAAATTATTTTCTTATGCTGTTCTTCGTGCCCAGCTGTCAGCATTTTCTGAGCCTGGGTGGTGGAAGTCAGTGCAGTTGTTTCATTTCTTCTTTTCAGATTCTTTGTGATTCAGTGTTTGCTTTTCAGATGCAGAGCAGGGATATGTACTTGTATGAACACCAACATTTTCAATTGTTTTTTCTTGGAAGAAATGTCATGTCCACAGTTTTCTCTCCTCCCCCAGCCATTTCCGGGCAGCCTGAGATTGCAAGATTGCGGTTTGGCCCAACAGAGGCACTCTAAGGTCCTGATCCTGCAGTCCAAACTGAAACAATGAGCTCTGATTGCAGGATAAGTGGGAGCGAAGAAGTAGAGAAAGGTCTGTGGGAAACGAGAGAGATGATCCTAAGCAATATATTGGGAGGAATAAACCATGAAGAGGGATGGCTGGCAGATGAGGCTGCTGCTGCTGCGGTAGAGGGCTTGGACCAGGACTCTGAATGCACGCTCCTCTGTGCCACCGATTTCCCGTGTGACCTCTCGGTGAGCAACTCACTGGCCCCGTTGTCTAAAACGGGAATAATGATATTTTTTACTGTCTGAAGAAGACTTGCAAAGGTCTGTAGGTGCCTGGCTCCCTTCACCTTGGGTCCCTGCAGGTTGCAGAAGCAGTCACCTGAGGTGCAGGGATGAAGGTGGGATGAGAGGGGTGAAAGGGAAGCAAAGCGCATAGGGAACAGGTGGAGAGAGAAGGATAGAGTGAATGGGAGGAGAGGAAAAGAAGACTGATGAAGCTTCAAAAGCCATGAAAGGAACTGTTAAAAAAACTATAGATTACCTTGCGTGGGGTTTAATCCCAATTTTTAATGCTGAGGTTGCCTCTGGATGGTTGTGCCTACAAGGGAGAGGTGCCTGCTAGAGTGCTGTTTGCTCAGTCAAGAAGTGTTTGCCTTTGGCAGGCATGCAGACCTGGCTCCCTTGGGGAGGGCTGGTCCCATGTGCAAGACAGGAGGGAAGCCCGCTTTCCACCCTTCCTGCCACACAGAAAAGCAGAGGCCTTCTCCACAGCACCCAGGAGCTGCTGAGCTGTGCTCCCCTGTGGAATAGGCAGCATGTTCAGCAAGTCTGGTGGGAGGGGAGGCCGAGGTGGTCCCTGGTGCCATTAGGAGAGGTCCGGGCTGCCTCTCCCATGGGGAGAAGCAGGAAGGGAGGAAAAGCCTGGGGGACTTGGGCTGGTCTGCTGCAATGGTGGGGGGAATGCCCAGCATCCTCCTCTCGATTTCCTGAGCTGGGGCAGATCCAGGTAGTCGGTGAGAGAACTTCTGCCCTCCCTGTCTTATTTTCTGCTTCCCGTGAAGAACCGCTGGGATTAGCAGTGGTGGCTGCCTGAGCCAGAAGAGCCAGTGGCCCGTCAGTTTTGGCACCACAGGACTGCAGGAGTAGACTTTGCCTGGCCAAGCCACTGGAGATGACCACAGCTTTGTCACGAAGCACCTGACAGTGTGGTGTCACCTCCCCAGTGTGGTTTTGGCCCAGCTGAATGCTCTTAGAGGTGGTTTAATGTGGTCTCTTGCGCTACAGGAAAATCTGTCTCTGAAAATACTTCAAAAGACAGCAGAAGTTTTAAGCCCTCTGGATGTGATGAAGACGCTGGTCACAGCAGGCTTGCAGGCTTGGCCCCTGTTTAACAGGTGGAGGCTGTTCCCTGGTCCTCTCTGTCTGTTGTGTTTGCAACAGGTTTGCGTGAAGTGCACCTTCCTCCTGTAGCTCACCTGAGCACCCTGCAAGCAGCAATTTATAGTTGCAGCAGCCCGGGAGATTGGTAAATAAACGTAACTAATTCCTTCAAATAAGGAATGCTGGCAAGGCAGTGATGAACACAACACAAGTGCCTACATGTGATTGCTTACCTTGTACTTGTCTCAGGACAAATTATTTCCACAGATCTAAATGGAGCCAAAAGACTGACATGGTAGTTTGTACCCTTGACAGTCTCTATGCCCGAGAGGGCTACCTTAGAGTAATGACAAAAGCCAAGTCATGGATACTGCATGTCCATTGCTCGTAGCTCACCCTCCGGCCCATCATCTCACTGCTGCTTCCCTGGGACTTTGGTGGCTAATACAAGGGGAAGAGGACCTCAGTTTGCCATGTGAGTAGTGGAGGAGGCATGAGTCCTCAGGCTGAAGAGTTTGGTGAGGGAAAACTGTCCTGAGAAAGTTTGGTGTGCTATGCCACACTCCCTAAAAGCTCACAGGCCTTGGGTGTTTTCTCCATGGCTGACAAGTGCAGACTGCTTGGTATTTACGCTTCTGCTGGTGGTCCCCACTGGTGTAACCAAAGGAAATGCTGCTTTGGGGACAGTGGACATCTCTTCAAAAGCGTAGAGCTACAAAGTGCAGTGAAGAAAGGAGCTTGTGCTTCCAAACAGTGGATAAAAGAGGGGTAGAAGGGACAAGAGGTGAAAGACGAGGTGAACAGGTGGGAAAAGCCCTGCTTACACTGCATGGGAAGCTCTGTAGCTTGAGTGTATGTTTTGTGTTTATTGGGGAAAAAAACAGTGACAGAGTAGCAAGGGGAGGGAAGCCTGGGACTGTTCTGACCTTCCAGGGCATGCACTGTCTCATCCATAAACTACAGGAGAAGGAGACAGTATAACCAGGAATAACTGCTCTGCAAAGTCTGCTCTTCTGGCTTAGTCTGTCTTTCCTTACCTTCAAAGCTATCTGTAAGTTGACATGACGTATCTGTCTCTTTCTTCACCAGGTTTTGCCTCCCTGTTGCATGTTCTTTGCTACTACCAACACTTACATTGTTTTCCTGAAAATGGGACAAACCTTTCGGGCAGGCTTCCTACCCCCTTCTGTTGTAATGTGTGTCTTCGCTTTGCTTGCCCATGCACATTGGAAATGCTTGAAGGCATTCGTGGTTTTGGAACTGAGAAGCAAATAAAACACCACAGCAGACCTCTATCAATCTATTAATGCACCGTTAAGATCACTGTTACGGGGAGAAACACCCATTCTGCTTGTTGCTGGTTCAGGCAGTGGTCATTAGATTGGGGTGGTTAAGGTGGAGGATGATCACTGGACAGCCTGTCTGCACGGTGCCTTAGACTTTCTGGGCTTTGCCACAACATCAGCCTGCATTTGTGTATTACTTGCAGAGCAAGGAGATGGTTTCAGAGACTCTTTCCTCACAGCATAGCTGAAACTGGGAGAGCTTTGCTGTCTTTTGTTTTATGAGGAGATAAATAGCCCTCCTCATTTTCCAGCAACTCTTCACTTTGAGGTTTGGCTGGGACTTTGGGATAAGTGTCGTTTTCACAAGCATCCCAGACCAAAGGGTTGGCTAATCATGCAAGGGGAAAATATGCCCTTGTGGCGATGGTGTGGGACTGTGGGGTTGGGTCTGTGTTGAGACTCTCTGCTAGAGACTTCCCTTGCATCTGAGGAGAGATCTGGCTAAAGTGGCCCCAGTCTTGAGCATCTCTGCTCTTGGAGAGGCGGTAAGGCATCTGCCCTGGGATGTGGTCAGTCCAACACACTCACACTGCAAGGACTCGCTGGGGGCTGGTTGCTGCCTGGCTCGCGCAGTTCCTGAGGTCACGAGGAGCCAGGAGGGCTGAATCTTGCAGTGGGTGCTCCCAAGCAGAATGGGGTCCTTGGGAAAAACAAACACACAGCACCTGCAAAATGCAGTGCTCCTCAGCTTGCTGTGAGTCTTGCTCTAAGCCCTGGCTGCTCCCAGCTGGTTTCACTGCCTGCTGACCCAGCTCTTTCTGTCTGAACTGGATGTGTACCTTCTGCCTTACCCAGCTCCTGCCTCTGCCTTCTTTGCCTATTGCAGGCTGAGGGCCACGACTGCCCAAGCCCTGCTAATGGTACGAGTGGGACCTCATGGAAGTCAGTGGAGGCCAATGTAGGTGCACAGGTCAGAGCACAGCACTGTCAAAGCCTGCAAAACACCCCTTTGGTCCTAAGGTGGCAAATTGTATTCATTTTTCTTTTATAACATCCAGGAGCCTGGTCTTGAAGCAGAACGTGCCTGGTTTGTACAACACCAAATGCAAGAAAGGCAAACTCAGCCCAGAAGAGTTTACAGTCAACGTCTCTGGCTGTAACACAGCAACTCAACACCAGTTCCTCAATGGCCTGTAAGTACTCATGTGTGATTGAGGGCACAGGTTGTGTGGCAGCAGGAAGCAGCATACCAAGGGCACTCTTTGAAGGACAGTAGGTAGGATGCAGAGGGTTGATGCTGGCGTCAGGACCCAGCGGTGCTGCAGGAGTATCTCTGGGTAGGTCATGCTGTCAGTCACATGGTCTTCTTACCAAGGCACTCAGGAAAGGCTGAATATATATATTTTTACAGAATTGATAACAAATTAATTCTACACAACTTCAGGAGACAGCTTCCCGGGGAAACTTGGAGGGATGGTGTGGGCAAGCGGATGTTAATACAGCCTTTTCTGCCCCCATTTTTTGGTGACTAGAAGGTTTCATTCCTTTGGTGCGCTTTGCCCATCTCTGTTAGGTTTGTGTTGGCCAGAGCATTTCATTAGCACGCTGAATGCATTTACAGTGTTTGAAACGAGACAAGAAATATGTACACATGTTTCTGTGGGTGAAAGCATTGCCTCTCAACATTGTTGCAGGATTACTGAAGCATCTCCTGCTTCCCCCATGTGCAACCTGGAGGTGTCTCTACCTTTTCCCGTTCCTCTCTTATATAAATAAATGAAAATGGCATTTCTGTACACCCTTGAGATGGTAGGTGGGTACCCAGAGCAAGCAGAGCACTATACCCTGCTGATGGAGGGGATCACTTATCTTCCTGTTACCCCACTATTTTGTTATGTATTTACAAGTCTCTGGCATCCCTTATCTCTCTCACTGTGCACTCAGGCTGGGAACCTTGAGATAAACCTGAAAACGCTCTGCTTTGTTATGTTGGCATTTGTGGCTTGTGGGCGGCAGGTTATATAATGTGCTGGTTTGTATCCGCTCGGTTACAGTGATTAGGTATCAAGTGACTGTGGTTATTTTTGCTTTTAAAAGCAACAGAGAGCTGTAGTGGGCTCCCCCAGAAGACAAATTGTGTTTGTTCCCCTTTGATTTTTGCTGACTGGCAACAATTCTTTATGACTTGCCATATGTTTTGAACAGCATCCTCCTTCTCCCAGTGCTTCTGGCTCTGTACCTATTCTCTGAAATGACTCAATGGCCTAGCGCTGTGAAATGCAGGAGCGTTGCTCTGGCTTATTATGCAGCTTGTGTATGGGCCCTTGAAATGCATTTGCATGCTCTAGTCTTTAAAAAGATGTACAACTCTCTTAACGTGGTAATTTTGTCCTTCCTTACATTCATGTTCTCTGGTGAAAGCAACTTCAGGAAGAGCCTGTAACTTTGCTCGGCAGATGAAATTAAGATGCCTACATTAAATGAACCTTGAGCAAGCAGCAGTATGTTTGGTGAGCTGCCTGCTGTAATTGAAATGTGTACATTAGAGGAATGGGAGCTTAATTGGTTGAGGGGGTGTAATGGGACAACGGTAATAAAAGCAGAGCAAACAGCTGACAGTCTGAGTGGATTTAGACATAAAAATGCGAGTGGAGATAAGGGAGTAAGCCTGCACTGAGAGAAATTCTCAAGACACACCCTGTGGCAGTACTAATGTGAAACCCTTTGCAGTTCTGCACCCTGACCCATGATAGCTGGCAGCAGGAGTGCACCTTGACAGGGTTTTTGCAATGCTGGTGTGAGACTGTGAGTCAAGAGGGACTGGAAAACCACAGTGTGTGCTTTTGGGAAGGTGGGCTGACTCTGGCTGGGGTCAGCTGTGCAGCTGAAAACAGGTTTTTATTGTGTATTTTGTATTGTGGTGCACCGTTGCACCACAAGGGCTTTCTGTTGCTGAAGGCCTTCCTGTGCAAGCCTTAAAAATGGAAGACAAATGGATGTATGCAATTACCAACTGCCTCCTGGACGCAGTGTGTTTATTTGGGAAAACATGGGCTGGTGGAGATGGCTGTTGTCGCCAGCTGGAGTTGACTGCTCAGATTTGGCATCACTGGTCATGGCAGCAAAGCAGAACAGAGCTGCGGAGAGGAAGGTTGGCTTTATGTCATCCCTGTGGAGCAATTATCTGTCAAAGAAATTGTTTCTACGTTTCCCATGGAGAATTTAGGTTATTTTTCCTGTTGCTCTTGGCATTTTATTTTGGCTAAACTGCTGCAGTGCTGCAGGGGAGACTGTCATTTGGGTTCCTCATTCTCTTGTTCCTGGCTGCTGTTAGAGGTGCTGGTCTTAATGTGCACAGAGGTCTCTCAGCTCAAAGACACGAACATCGGGGCCATCCCTGAAGAGGACAGGTTAACCTAAAGGCAACTGCTGAGAATGATATCTGCTGAACACTAGTGCAAAGCTAGGCAGGTTTGGCACATGCTTGGGGTTCCTCCTTTGGAAGGAAGTGAGGTTACATGTAATTTTGTTCCTGACACCCAAATAACACAGCAGGGAGTAAATGAGAAATGTGCAGGAGCTGAGTCCTGGTTTTAAACCATCCTCTGCCCACATGGGGGTGTTGAAACATCTTCAAGCATGTGTGGGATGTGCCAATGGACAGCGTTAAAAGGTGTTGCCATTTGGGGACATGGGGGAAAGGGACCATTCTTTCCTGCTTTTGGTATTTCATCTATCAGATGCAGGTGGCTTGCTCCTCCTGTGTGGGCTGGCAGGGGTCAGCAACACCACTGATCCAGCCATTGTCCCCCTGCTCTCCTTCCAAGGGTGTGCTAGCTCATGCTGTCGTCAGTGTGGAGCCTGTCAGAGGAGGGTGCATAGCGGCAACATCCTTTCCTGGTCAATTCTTGCTGCCTGCCATGAGAGGCGAGCTTGCACAGAGCTCGGCACCCTGTGAGGCCGGACAGCCTGATGTGGAGTGCTTATTTTCCAAAAGGTCGACCCCTGGCTGCACTGAGCTCTGGTGAAGACCTGGCCTCACGCAGGTCATTCTTGTACTTCCTGGGAGTGCTGTCCTTCCTCCTTGGTGTGAACCCAACCGGACGTGATGGGAGGTGTGTGGGGGTATGTTCTCTAAGTGTTTCTTTTTAACTGGCTGAAATGAACGTGTTTCTCTGAACTGTGGACCTGGCATCCCATCGGGATGCTGCACTCTGCGCTAGTCATTCATTTAATATGCAGTGATTTCATATGTCATTTTCTGTTAGTGGTCAATAGAAGGGGGACTCTGTATGGCACAGTGAATATTAAACACAGGGCTGTTTTCCAAGGGAGCGAATCTGTAGCTGTGTTGCACTGACTTTGATGAGGTTGGGCACCAGTCCTGCCTCTGCTCCATTGCAGAGCTCAGCACAGAGTAATGGTTATCTGGACAGCATTTTCGCATTTCCCCACCTCATCCTGGCGTGGAGTCCCCATCCCTGTATGCTGCCTCGCTGCTCTGCCTGGGGGAAGAGCCCTTTGCCACCTCCATCTCTGCATGACAGACAATGCTGAAATAGCTTGCGAAGGCTGCTATTTCTTGGCTGGGAGGCATGCTGGGAGGCAGAGGAGCTGTGGCAACCTGTTAATGAAGACAAGTGTTATGGCTAGGATTTGCTTTTATTGCGTAAATGAATCCTTTGTACCTTTCCAAAGGGGAAGGATAAATAATAAGATCTGTCATCCCCTGAACTGAAAGAATTGTGTTACCTTGGCTTAGTCTAGCCACCACCAGAGAAAAAAGGAGAGTTGAGCACTGCATTAGCAGTAATTACCTTGCAGAGGAATCGCGGGCTGTGACAGGAGGTGACATTATCTGCCTGCTTCCCTTCAGCCAAGACAGGAGTGGGGAACTCGGCTACAGCTATGGCTTCCTTGTGTGGGGCACCAGCACTTGGGCACTGTGCTGCCAGGGTCTGGCAGGGACGCATCCCTGCTGCAGGTGAGGCAGCTGCCACCTGGAAGCGGTCCTTGACATTGCCGGTATGGGTCTCCCGGTACCAGAGCAATGGCCAACACCAGCTAAGGGATGCTGCTGCATGTTGATGGGCTGCAGGAGGAAAAGGCAAGGGCAACTCTTCACAGAATAGTTGCAATTGCTACAGCAGGGGCTGTGCGGGGAACAGAGCTATGAAACACTTTGTATCTCCTGTGCGGGAGGAGAGGAATAGAGATGAAATGTTGCTGTGCTACAGGGAACATGGGTGGGGAAATCTAGTCCACCCTCATTGATAATTTCTTCTGATCTGTTACACCATACTAAAGATCTGTATACGCGCTGGAGCTGACTGCCTTTTAAATTGATGTACTTAATACTTGCATCGTTTCATGCTCCCTGTCTGCAGTTCTCTCTGCTCCCAGGTCAGGGAAGAGACCTTATCTGATTGCTTTTCTGTCTTTTACGGTTTGCAGTTCAGCCTCACTCAAGGCTATCTGTACAGACAGCACCAAGCTGTGGCCTTGTGGTTTTGTGCAAGTGTGATGGGACTCGGGGTACTGCAAGGGTGTTTTGTACTCCTGCCAGGGGATGTGCAGGGAACACAGGACAGCTGACCTGTAGGGGCAAGCGTGAGGCTGCCTTCTGCAGGGTCTGGGGAGCCTCATCTCAACTCCTTCAGCCTCTGCTGCCGTGGGGCAGGGCAGGAGTTGGCGGTGGGAGCCCCAAGCAGTGTCCAGCCAGCGTTGCCTTTGGAGCCCGGGGCTGTCTTGTGGGAGTGGTGAGCTGTGGGGCTGGCTGTTCCACGGTGAGGGTGCTTACTCTCTTCTGTGGGTCCTCACAGGGGGCAGAGAGCAGGCCCAGAAAGACCATGGCTCCTGTGCTGCAGATGTAGGAAGGCCAGGGGAGCTGAGAGGAGGAGGATGACAACGCGGGCACTTTCTTTTCTTCTTCTCTGGAGCAAAGGGAAGAGTCATTGCTTTAAGGACCTGGATGAGGTAACTGAGCTGCAAATACAAGCAGGCTCTAGTGAAAGGCCATCATGTCCGAGCTGCCCTGGCACCCCAGGGTGCCTCGCTGTCCAGTGGGGACCTCAGTGATCCCAAGAAATGCCTACCCTGCAGCAAGCTATAGGAGGGAGGAGGAGGCAGAGCGCAGGGGCGCAGGTGCTGCTGCCCTGGTGAAAGTAAAACAGGCGCTGGAGCCGTGAGCCTCACATTGTTCACTCTGTGTCTCTTGGCTGTGCCGGTGCCTGGAGGAACATTCATGGAGGAGGACAGAGCATGAGGAAATATTTGATCCGTTGTTAAAGGACTCACAGGGAGACATAGGACTCTGTGTCTGTAGCACAGCAACACAGCAGCATTTCTGAATTGCACGTGTTACAGGAACAGCCCCGGCATCTCAGATGCTCATCCAGCATGATCTTGCTTGGAGGACAAATGCTTTCTCAGGAGGTGGTGTACGGAGCATCCTTATGCCCTGTGCAGGATTTCACAGTGTCTACATGTCAAGAGCTGATCCTGTTTGTAACTCCTCGTCCTGACAGTACTCTGGGTGCTGGCACTCAAGCTTGGCACTGCTCTGGGTGTGGCCAAACGCTATTTTTAGCTGATTGCTGCGGCCAGGATGGGAGCTGGTTGTGTGCTTTGTGGAGGTGAGGAGACAGCACGTGCATCCTTCTCCCTTCATGATGCAGGCTTTGCTGAGGCAGCATGTGTGGAATTGGTAATGATCCTGGGAAGGAGGCTGCCTTGCCTTGTGTCTATGGGAAGTAGCAGGGAATTGGGGCTGTGGGTCTTGTGGTGTCACCTTGTGCAAAATGCATAAGAAAAATACTTTGAAAACCACTCAAATGCTGTAGGTGTGTCTGAAAAGTCTCCCCCTCCACCACTCTTTGTGCCTTGGTTTTTATGCACAGTGCTGATGATGCTGCCTGTGTGCAGTAGCTTAACCCCTTATGTCAGTAATGACAGTATGAAAGGTTTGCAGCACCTGCTGCCTGGCCATCAGGAGTTTGATCTTGGGATGCTTTGGCACCTGCTGTGTGGATGCTCTTCGTGCTTTCAAAAGAGGGGGGCAGAGGCGAGTGGGTACCTCTGCCCTCTTTCTTTTGTTTTTACTTTGTTCTTTGTTTCTAGCAGGTATGGATGGGAAGAAATGCAGCGTGTGGATGTTTTTACCTCTGGTGTTTACCCTGTTTACATCAGCTGGATTATGGATAGTGTAAGTTATCTCCTGCTGGTTATTTGGGAGAGCAAGTTAGGCTGGGGCAGTTTAAAGTATTACTGTGGTGTGGGCTGTATCTCAGTACAGAGAGTCTTTTGGGTATGCTCTGTCCTTGAGTTACTGGCTGGGGGCTGGGAAGGCACTTGATAGGGGCAGGGGCCAGTCCGTGCCAGTTCATGGCTTGGAGGATCACATTTTTATCCCTGAGTTTCTGTGCTCCCCAGGCCAAGTTTCTGACCTTGCCTTCTTCCTGGCACGTGTTACTGGGAGCTGCCTGAAAAGAGACAGACAAAAATGCATCATGTTTTCTCTGAATGACTCAGCAGAGCTCTTGGAGAAGCACTTAAGGCCCTGCTTTGGGGTGCAAACTCAAAATCTGCAGCATCCAGCACCGCACTGACAACCTGCCAGCAGCCTAATGCTCACACCTCACTTTATCACTAACACTTCTTACCAAAGTGCACGCGAGACATGCATTTCCCTGAGCTGGGCTTCCTCCAATCATGCAGGCAGATGACTGCAGCATGAATTTGGGAGCAATAAATGTGCCATCAGCAGCTATGCTCAGCCTAAGAAGCAGTTATATTGTAGGATATGGCTTTGGCCATGGTCTGTGGATGTTGTTTTTCAGCAGCAGGGGCAGCTTAAGCCATTTGTCTGACCCTTATTGCTTGTTGTTCTTCTTGTCCCATCCCCTCTGTTTGTATTAAAACAGCTTTTGCGGACCCTGGACCATGGTAAACCAGATGAATGAAATGATTCATATTAAAAATGAAAACACTCCCCTGGTTGGTTATTTTTAAGGCAGCTCAGTTCAGTGACCCTGTTTGTCTACCTGACCATGCAAAACAGATGCAACACAAAGGAAGGCACATAGTTAGGCTGGGAAGTGAGCAAAACTGGCTGCTTGAGAAGGGAGAAACACAGGCTGCCTCCAGTGGATCCTGCTAGTGGGCTTTGAGACACTTAATGTGTTGTTTGAGTGATATTTGGAATTGAAGCCAGGATGAGGTTTTACACGGTTTTCATCTTTTTCTTTTTTCTTTTTTTTGACAGGTACTTTATAGCAGTGGAAGATAACAAAATTCTCCCGCTAAATGTACCAGATAGGTAAGAGCTGGTTGTGGGCTTTACGTTCAATCACTTGTTTCTTTAAAATAATAGAACAATGAAAGCTACATGGGAAAGAAAATCTTGAATCTTTGTTCCTATGCATTTATGTCTCTTAGGAAACCTGGTTCCAGAAGACCACCTTATATAAGGTAGGTGAATGATTTTCTTCCAATTACTGTTCTGATTAATAGTTGTTATTTATGTCTCTTTGCCATCTTAGATTTACAATGATACACTTTATATTTCCAAGTATTGCAGGTGATGCACCTCCTGCAAGCTGCGTGTTTAGCCAAGTCATGAACATGGCGGCATTTCTAGGTAGGAACCACAAGGGCAATGTTTCTTTCTCTCTCATAATTCATTTTAAGAAGTCACTGAAACATAAGTAATATCCCATACACATTGGAATCTTGATGATGTGAAATCATATAAACTGTGATTACTACTGATTAAGACAGTATTATTTTGTCTTCATTTGTAGAAAGACAGAATGAAGCTGGATGCATTTGAACTTTATTGGTTTCTGATTTATTGTCATGTTTTTAATTGTCTCAGCCTTGAATCTGTGTGACTGTTTTTCATTGTATGGTGGGTTTTTGTTATATGCTGTGAATGTGAGATAATTGCATGGGAATATTGGCAACTGCAGGAACTGATTATGCAAAATATCATGCGTGCTAAAGTCCTTCCTACCCCACCCCTTCCTAAATTCCATTACTAAATCTGTGGAAGTTTACTGGCACTTTCCAGCAGTGGAAGTAAGAGGGAAACACCACAAAGAGAAGAAATATCTGAAAAGTACTCGAAAAAAGATGTCTGTGTTTAGTTCTTAAAACTGTTCATTACCTTTACCTGTATGTATTTTGAGCAAATTATCCCAAACTTAAATGGCAAATAATTCATTATTTTAACCTTGATTTGCTGCTCTTTACTAGTACTTGCATTTATCTTTTCCTATATTGGTGATTTATTGTGCTTTCAGTTTTGCACTGAGCTATTCTCAAAGTGCGGATTCCACCCCTGCTGCCTGTGAAAGGCATGATGTTTCTTTTCAGAAACCTGGGAAATTCAGTTGAGCTTTGAAATTAATCCAGACCTGTAAGAGTCTGGATTAATATGAGTAAAATACCTTAACGGTCTTAATCTGACATAATGAAAATGAGGCTTGGAATGTAAAACCTGGTAAAATATGTTTAATCATGAACCTTGACATGAACTTCCTTATTTTCAAGTATCACTTCAGGGTGGAGTTTAGGCATCCTTACACACATCCTTACACTTTGTTTCTGTGTATGGCTTTGTTTCAATTTTAGATCTTGATTTACATATTGAGCCAGGGTCTCAATTAGTAGAAATAATTCTGGCTCCGGTTTGTGCTAAGGCAGGGTCTTGCACACATTTTATTTATATGCCTAACACCCAGTGCAATGTGATTATGACAATATGATTTAAACTTCTGATCCCCAAACCTCTTAAAACAACATGTGCATAGTATGTTACTTCTTACGTTAACGTGGCTGTTTGACGGTAGTGAATACACGCCTGCCTTTTCAGCTGCTTCCAGGTAAGGCCCCATTTCTGCAGGCCACTCTGTTCAAGCAGCCTCTGTGGACCTGCACCAAGTCCCAGTGAGTCCGAGGGCTTTATGAAAGGGCAGGAATTGGTTTGATGCTCACTCACCGTGTGATCTGGTGGACATGAGGATAGCAGTTGCGTGAGTGAGGGGAGCAGCTAGTGTGAAGAAGGGCAGGCAAACAAAAGACATGCACCTTTTTGAAGCTAAACTGTACTTTTTGGCTTTCATTGCTGCTTCTTCCCATTGCAAGAAGAAATATAACCAGGGAACCTCCAGACTGCAAATGTGTCGTGGGAGATGTGATGGTAGGTGGCTGCCTTGGCCATGGTGATCATGAAATGGTTGAGTTTAAAATTTTTGGTGTAATGAGAAGAAAAGACAGCAGAGTTGCTACCCTGGATTTCAAGAAAGCAAACTTGAAGCTATTCAGGGAGCTATTTAGCAGAGTACCCTGGGAATCTGCTTTTGAGGGCTTAGGAGTCCACGAGTGCTGGTCAGTTTTTAAGAACCACCTTTTAGAAGCACAGGAGCCGGCAATCCCACTGTTTCGTAAGTCAAGCAAGCGGGGCAGAAGACCAGCTTGGCTGAACAGGGAACTCCTCGTGGAGCTCAAGAGGAAAAAGAAATTGTGTGATCTCTGGAAGTGAGGTCAGGCTTTGCAGGAAGATTACAGAGCTGTGCTTCATATGTGCAGGGAGAAGACACGAAAGGCCGAAGCTCAGTTATAGTTGAACCTGGCCAGTGCTGTGTCAGACCACAAGAAAGGCTTTTCTAAGTATGTCAATAGCAAAAGGAGGTCTGAAGAAAACATTGGATTGCTACTTGTTGAAGACTGTCACCTGACTAATAGGGATGAAGAAAAAGCGGAGACATTCAATGCTTTTTTTGCGTCAGTCTTTAATAAAAAGGACAGATCTTGGGCTGCCCGGTCCCCTGAGTTGGAGGACCACGGGTATGGGAACAGTGACTTTCCATTTGCAAACACTGAAATTGTCAGGGACCAGCTGTATCAGCTGAATGTTCACAAGTCCATGGGGCCTGGTGGGATTCATCCCAGGGTACTGAAGGAGCTAGCGGATATTATGGCAGGACCCCGCTCAATCATCTGCCAAAGGTCTTGGGAGTCTGGGGAGGTCCCTGCTGACTCAAGCTAGCCACTGTTATTCCAATCTACAAAAAGGGCGTGAGGGAAGACCCAGGGAACTACAGGCCTGTTAGTCTAACCTCAGTTCCTGGAAAAATTATGGAGAAGGTCATACTGGGTACTATTGAAAGGCATTTAAAGAATAATGCAATCATCAGGCACAGTCAACATGGGTTCACAAAGGGAAAGTCCTGTGCAACTAATTTGATATCCTTCTATGATAATGTCACCCGCCTAGTGATGAAGGCAAGGAGGTGGATGTAGTTTTTCTGGATTTTAGTAAGGCTTTGGATATTGTTCCTCACAGCATCCTTCTGGACAAGTTGCCCAACTGTGAGATGAGCAGGTACGCAGTGCGCTGGGTGAAGAACTGGCTGAAGGGCAGGGTTCAAAGGGTTGTAGTGAATGGTGCTACATCTGCCTGGTGACCAGTCACCAGCGGTGTTCCTTAGGTCTCAGTCCTAGGGCCACTTCTGTTCAATATATTTGTCAACGATCTGGATGCAGGAGTTGAATGCACCATTAGCAAGTTTGCTGATGATATCAAACTGGGAGGTGCTGTTGGCTCTTTTGAGGGATGAGAGGCCTTGCAGAGGGATCTAGACTGATTGGAGCATTGGGCAGTCACTAATGACATGAAATTTAACAAGTCCAAGTGCCCGTTTCTGCACCTGGGATGGAGTAATGCTGGGCACAAGTATAAACTGGGAGAGGAGTGGCTGGAGAGCAGCCCTGCAGAAAGGGATCTGGGGGTGCTGGTCGACAGCAGGCTCAATATGAGTCAGCAGCGTGCACTGGCAGCCAAGAGGGCAAACCGCATCCTGGGGTGCATCAAACACAATATAACCAGTCAGTCAAAAGAGGTGATTATCCCACTGTATTCAGCGTTGGTACGGCCTCACCTTGAATACTGTGTGCAGTTCTGGGCCCCACAATTTAAGAAGGATGTGAAGGTCCTTGAATGCGTCCAGAGGCGGGCAACAAAGCTGGTGAAAGGGCTGGAAGGAATGTCCGGTGAGGAGCGGCTAAGGACTTTGGGTTTGTCTAGTTTGATAGATTGGAGCATTGGGCAATGATTAATGGGATGAAATTTAACAAGTCCAAATGCTGGATTCTGCACCTAGGATGGAGTAACACCGGGCACAAGTATAAACTGGGAGAGGAGTGGCTGGAGAGCAGCCCTGCAGAAAGGGATCTGGGGGTGCTGGTCGACAGCAGGCTCAATATGAGTCAGCAGCGTGCACTGGCAGCCAAGAGGGCAAACCGCATCCTGGGGTGCATCAAACACAATATAACCAGTCAGTCAAAAGAGGTGATTATCCCACTGTATTCAGCGTTGGTACGGCCTCACCTTGAATACTGTGTGCAGTTCTGGGCCCCACAATTTAAGAAGGATGTGAAGGTCCTTGAATGCGTCCAGAGGCGGGCAACAAAGCTGGTGAAAGGGCTGGAAGGAATGTCCGGTGAGGAGCGGCTAAGGACTTTGGGTTTGTCTAGTTTGGAGAAAAGGAGGCTGAGGGGCGACCTTATCGCTCTCTGCAGCTTCCTGAGGAGGGGAAGTGGAGAGGGAGGTGCAGATCTCTTCTCCCTGGTATCCAGTGATAGGACACGTGGGAATGGTTCAAAGCTATGCCAGGGGAGGTTTAGATTGGACATTAGGAAGCATTTCTTTACCGAGAGGGTGGTCAAACACCAGAACAGGCTTCCTAGAGAGGTGGTCGATGCCCCAAGCCTGTCAGTGTTTAAGAGGCATTTGGACAATGCCCTTAATAACTTACTACAGCTTGGTCAGCCCTGAATTGGTCAGGCAGTTGGACTAGATGATTGCTGTAAGCCCCTTCCAAATGAAATGGTCTATTCTATTCTAGCTCTGCTTTGTGGATAAAGCCAAGCTTTCCTCTGCTGTATTGGGTGCTTCTGAGAGCTGCTTTTAGCTTGTACTTCTGGCCACCTTAGTTGTGTCAAAGCCCTTGCTATAGGAGAGGAAACCTGCCAGAAGCATAGGCATTACTGAATATTGAAAATGCCGTTGTTTTTCATGTAATGCTGGAAGGTGACCTTTTAATTCCCTTTTGTCATTCCCATCAGTGTTTTAGGAAGCGATCACATAATTTCAGGATCCTGTCCTGTAGAAATAGAAATGAAAAAGTTCCTGCACGTGAGCTCAAGTAGTCACAGCATGGCTGTCCCAAACAATTACCTGGTGATGAAAAACAGAAATTCGCTTTTTTGGGGGAACAAAGTTCTCTTGTTTTCAAGGATTTGGAGTGGATTGGTTCACTAGAGCAAATTGTGAGAGAGTAAATTCAAACATCTTTTGCAGTTTGGATAGAAGTGGATACTCTTCACTTACAGTTCCCTTATTTTTCTAAACCATGTTTTTGGTATTATGCCAGGGTTTTTGTGGAAAATATAGATCTAATTTGCTAACGCAGACAATTTACGACAATATGACCTGCATGCTGTCAGTTTGGGCATAAGCGTAAGAAGGTGTTGGCAGCAACCAGCAAATTTCCCTGTTCAACTAAATTGCTTTTTAGTGATCTGGTTTGAATCCCATCTGAAGGCCAACTGACTGCCAGGCTTTCTGTGTTGTTCCATGCAGCATTTCCTAGGGAGGGCAAGAATATACGATGTGAATATCTCCTGGGGTTATGTCATAGCATATAATCTACCATGTATCATATATATCATGTATCACATCATAGCACTTGGGCTAATTGTAAGCTTGGAAGGACTGCTCTTCCAGTCTTCGCGGAAAATTAATGCAATATTTTGGCTTATGTTCATGGCACCAGCAACTTGTTCCAGAGGAGAAGAGGCAGTGGGCATTATGGTAAAACTTACAGAAATACATATGTGCTGCTCATACATTTTCTAATACAGGTGGGGCTTGACATATCTCCTCCAAGAGAGCTCAGTGCTCATGAGTGGGGTGAAACTTGATGCAAGCCCAGCTGCTGCAATGTGAATGCATGGTGTGTATGTGATAGACTATGTTCTGGGACCTTCACAGGCAAATAGGAAGGTGCTCTTCTTTCCCCCAGAAAATTTGCAACCCAGTTCCCAGACAAAACATCATGAGAAAAGGAAGCGTGGGAGCTCTGCGTAACTGGATTTCAAGAGAAATGCTTTCTGTGCTTAGTCTCGTCCATGACAAAGTGGGAGGGGGCCATAAAGAAGAACTAAGCTAGCCAGCCTGCAGTGAGCTCTCCCCTCTGGGTGGAAAGAGGGTGAGGGGTCCGTGGGCCCCCAGCCAGGTGGTTACTGCAGCATGTTCTACCTAATGACGCACCTTGCATTCTGTTTCCTTCTCAGCACTTGTTGTGGCTGTCCTGCGCTTCATTCAGCTGAAGCCAAAGGTGCTAAACCCTTGGCTGAACATCAGCGGCCTGGTGGTGTTATGCTTGGCCTCTTTTGGAATGACCCTACTCGGCAACTTTCAGGTACTGCACTCCAGGCTTGAATCGCTGTGTCCGTGCTGTGAGGTTCCTGCTTTTCTAGCAGATCTGCTTAGGTCTTTGAACTACCTGTGACATGAGCTCAGGAGAGAATGTGTCTGGCTGTGCCCCAGCCCTCCTTGTACCTGCTCTGCCACTTCTATCTGCTGCTTACGTGGCTCCAGTGACATACTGAGATGAAGGGCCACAGTCATTTTTCACGTATTCCCAGCAGGATTTGCACCTTGACCTGCCGAGAGCCAGAGCAGGGAACCTATTGAATCTCTTGAGCCCTGGGGGTTGGCACAGGTGGTCCTGGGTAAAAGGGTTGAGCTGGAAGTTTACATACGCATCTGTGCGAACAGATGCACAACTGCCCATAAAGATTTAGCAGACAGTTCAGTGTCCTTTGTTGAAAACATACGTTGTTTAAATCCACCTCCTGCTTGTCCTTCGAGCGGCCACGAGAGGGACACAGCAGAGGAGTGCTACGACTTCTAATGTGACGGGTGCCTGGATGAGGTCCCTCTGATTCTCGATCTGTTCTGCAATATTATACAAACAAACAAGCTGTCAGTGCCACAATGTTGCTCGGTAGGGTTGGGCATCCACTGTAATCACGAGTATGTCTGTTAGGTCTGCAGTGAAAATCAAGGCATTAGAGTCAGTGGCACTTGGGTTTCCCCATCCCTTTGCTGTCTCTGATGCTCTGTTTCTCACTGGGGTGCAAGTAATGACCCCCAATAAAGGCAGGAACTGAGAAAGGTCAGCGTAGGCTGGCTTCTTTCCTGGCTTTGCAGGCAGGGAGCTCTTTTTCCTGCCAGTACAGAAAAGGTATTTGTTTTGTGAAGGGCTACCTGTTTGGGTTGTGGAGTAATTGCAGAAACTTTGTGTCCTTTACAGTCTTCTTTCTTTCTTTTTTCTTTTTTTTTTTTTTTTTTCTGAATGAGGTGTGAGATAATTTGACTGGTTTGGACCTGGTCTTCCTAACTCCACAGCACAAGCCAAAAACTTGGAGTCTTGTTTTTTCATGAGAGCTTCCCAGCTAGGAACTATGAGGCTTTTGTAACTCTTCTAACTTTTGAGGCCTTGTCTAGGTGTGAGAAGAGTATTTCTAGTACAGGGCAGGCACGAGGAAGCAGTTTCAACCTCTCCTTCCTTTTTTCACTCCTCAGAGCAAATGATTGTTATTTAAAAGTGGATACTTTGAATCATGCCTGGTTATAAATTCTGAACTAATTATCTACTCCTTGGTAGTTACCTGTATCCTTGCTTAGATCTTTTGCCAAACCATGAAAGCATGTGGTAATGAGACCTTAGTCCATGCTTTTCCCTGCCTGCCTGTTAAGCTGAATGTGGCATTAAATCATTGGAAAAATACAGATTGGGTGTGTTAAAGGGAAAAAAAATTGGAAAAATCTGGAAAAATACAGATTGGGTGTGTTAAAGGGACATTATGGCTGTGAGTTCCTTGCAGTGCAGGCTACCTTGGGAAAGGCAGCTCAATCCCATTTTTGCCTGTGGTATGATTTGGACCTACCCTTGAATAAAACCTCAAAGTAGGAAGGAGAGGGGAGACATCAGTGGAGGCACAGTAACTAGGCTGTTATCTTGTAGGTTGTGTCTTGTTTGATGGGAATTTGTAAAATCACTGAACACGAATCAAAGCTGCAGGGAGGAATTACAGATTGCTGGTTTCTTTTCTAGAAAATCCTCAGAGGCAGAGGGAAAAGGGAAATTGTTTGGCTTAAGTCTTGTCCATGCTGGGCTTTCTAAATGGATTTGCTGCCTCAAGGGATCTCTTTGCAGATTCCTGCTCATTGAACCTGGCTGACCTTTTGCCTTGCACTATTGCACAGTCACTGAGCCCTGTGAGACACAGGAACCCAAGGAACACAGAAGCACTTGCACTCCAGAGAGGCTGGGTTCATATTGCCTCAGACCCCAGTGGTTGAGGACGGGCCGGAGAGGGAACAGGCAGTCAAGCTTTTTGGTGGGAGAAACTTGCCAAACCACGAGCACGTGTCTGTGTTTTGGCTCAATGGAGGTGTTAGGGCTCTGGCTACCCTCTGCCCTAAGGCAGCACTGCTCCATGCAGCTGGCACTGAAGGTTGCACAGTTTGCTTCCATTGCAGGGAGCTGTACAAGACCTCAGCGCATTGTCCTTGCCTGCCCTGGCCATCACATCGAGCTAGAGAAGGATTTGTTTCTGAGCTCTGTGTTGGTGAGTCTTGTCAGAGAGCTGTGGAGGCAGTCCCCAAGCAACTGCATTTTCCACTGTGCTTGGGCTTTGGGCAGAAGATCTGCTTGACTGTGACAGCTGTCAACTCATCTTGATTATGTTACACCTTACACCTCTGCCAGAAGAAATGATACAGCATCTCTGTCTCACACTCCAGTGATTCCCACTCTCCTCTATCCCACCCCAGCAGAAATCCAAGGTAGCTAGCAGATAATTCCTGTTGTGTCCAAACAATCACCAGTTTGTTTGTTCCTAGCTTTCCAACGATGAGGAGATCCACAATGTGGGCACATCGCTGACCTTTGGCTTTGGGACCTTGGCATGCTGGATCCAGTCTGCCCTCACCCTCAAGATCAACCTGAAGAACGAGGGACGGAAAGTCGGGATTCCACGAGTCGCCCTGTCGGCCAGCATCACCCTCTGTGTGGTGCTCTGTATCCTTTTGTCCCACTCCCTGCGAAGCCAGCTATCATACGTGTCCGACACTCTCTGCAGCAGGGAACATTGGCTCTTCTTACATCTGTCCTAGGATCTCAAAGCATTTAGGAATGCTACTCAGCTTGTCTTCATGGCATGTTCCTATGATTGGCTCATTTTGCTACTTGTGTTTTACCAGGACGCACTGCTTCACAGATGGGCTCACTTCCTTCATAAATGTTTCTAAAACTTCTTAGCGATATCCAAAGTGGTTACAATATTGAATTGTATTTGTGCAATTTAATGGCAACACTGCTTACCTACACAGTAGCTTTAAGATTATGCAAAATATTGAGGTAAAAATTCTCAGGAGAACAAAGGAACAAGGGAGGAAATCAGGGTTCTGAAGATGAGAAGATTTTGATGTGTTTGTTGAAGTGCTCCAGGGTGCTACATCCAGCTCTGCCTTTTAAGACGGTTATCACAGTCAAGAGCTGCTGGGTCATGTGGACTTCAGGTAAGACTAGGTGCTTTATAAATGGAATTTGGGCTGTGGGGTCTGTGGTCACTCAGACTGGATGTACATATGGCTTCCTCTCCACCTTGTGCCTGTCAGCCCCACTCCAGCCCTTCTGTTTGCACAAGCACTCATGTGCCCTGGGTGTTTGTTTAGGGTGGATCCATTGACTGCATAATTGCATCAACGTTAGTGCTGGGATAAGCAAGAAGGCAGGAATAAATGGCGAGGAATAAACTAATTCCACTCTTCAGGGAACAGCCTGTTCTTAAAACAATTTCTTAGTTACTTGGCTGGCTTTGAACATTTCAGCCAGTGCCCAGAGGAATATCAGATTGGTGTGAGGATGTACCATCAGTCGCCTCTTAAGCTTCTTTGGAAAAATTTGTAGCTGAGCTTTGGTGTACGTAATGTGGGAGTTTGCCCGGTTCTTGCGGTCCTCCCCTCCTCCCCTTGCCCCAAGCCCATAGCTCCCCCAGGGTGTGTCTGGGGTAGGGCTGCATGCGAGGAGCTGGGCCAGGCTCCTGCTGCGCTGCTGTCTTTGGAGGTTTCTGCCAGGCTCTGGGCAGGAGCAGCCTGGTAAGCCAGGGTGTAGCTGCTCCTGTACTGACATGCTGGGTGCTCCCAGCCCAGCCCTCCCCGGCTGGCTGCTTGGCACTGAAGGCCTTGGGCCCTCTGTGGAGGGGGGAAGGCTGAGGCAGGAGTCCCTTTCCCCCACCGCCCCCCACTGGCTTTGCAAAGGCTTGGAGCTGGCTCCCCATCCCATGCAGCTTGTGCATAACTCTTGCACTACAGGAAAAGTAGAAGATCCTTAAAGTCAGACACAGAATGCTGTTTGCTGAAATGAAGCTTTGGTTGCTTACACTAAGCCCAAGAAGAAAAGTCTCTGATTACCTGCTTTGTGCAGTTAAAGCATGGGAGAGGCTGCTTGTTTGTTTGTTTGTTTTACCTGTGAAGATGTGTGATTCTGCATTCTTGGAGCGCAGAGGAAATCCTGAGAGACAGGAGAGCCAGTAGGCAAGTCCCCAGCTCAGGAAGGTGTGCTCTGCTTTAGGGGAGGTGAGAATTGCTTTTATGGAGTACTCCAACACAACCTGAGGCAGAGCAGTGAGACCCTGATGCCAGGCAGTACACGGTCCAAGCACATGGCTACATGAGCCTGGAGGACAGTTTCTGGCTCTGACAGCATTCTTTTTCCTTTCAGTATAACATGCAATACTGTGTAGACTGATGCTTCCGGATTTCACAGAAAGGGGTGATTTTGCAGGTGATCTAAAGAGAATGAAAGATTGCAGTGTAGGTTGAAAGGTGTTCCCACTGCCTGCGGTGCAAAGATCTGATGCAGTTCCCGCTGGGAGGCTCCTGGCAGGTAGGGGCCCACAGCCAGATCCCCAGCTTGCTGGCTCTGTCACTGGCTAGTTGGATGTTCAAGCAAGTCATTGACTTCTCTGCGCCTAAGTCTTTCCCTCTGTAAATGTTTATCAGCCTGAATTGAGATAAGGAGCCCTGGTCTGTATAGGAGAGCTGCTGCGCTCCGTGGGCATTGTTGGACACCTGGCATACCTTCCATCACTGGCACCACATTCACACTGTCCTGATGATGGCTGGCTGCGCTGACTGTCATCCAGTCTTAAAATTGTTAAGATTTTATTGTCTTCCCTGTGGGCTTTCTTTCATCCTGGTTGGTGTCTCTGCTCCCACTAGTTCTCCTTGACTTTCCTCTTCCAGATTTCATCCTCATGGCGCAGGGCATCCACATGCATGCTTCCAGGATCCAGTGGGGCCTGGTGATGTGCTTCCTGTGCTACTTCGGCACCTTTGCAGTGGAGTTCAGGCACTACAGATTTGAAATCGTTTGCTCTGAGTACCAGGAAAACTTTCTGAGCTTTTCCGAAAGCTTATCAGAAGCCTCTGAGTACCAGACAGATCAGGTGTAGCCTGTCCTCTGGCAGGGGGGGAGGGGGGCAGGTGTGGTCTCATGTGTTAAACATGACCTCATTTACACTTTTTGATGAGTTTGTTTTCATGTGCAATCATGATCATATTGCCAAAGGGCTCTGAGGGTGGCTGTCTCATTAAGAGCCAAACAAAAATAGCTGTCTGCTGGAAGAGGAGTAGATCCTTCTCAGTGGCAGCATGAGAGAGCACAAGCTGTTTAGTTTGTGCTACCAGTGACTCTTTCTGAGTGGCTCTGTCACACTCCCGTTGTTCAAAACATTCAACAGCCAGTCTTCACGATGCCCCTCCACGACAGGCACTCCTCAGCCTGTTGTGCAGAGGAAGAAATGAAGGAAACGGTCTTCTCTGGGCACCGAGAGCCTTCAGGAGTCACCAGTTCCCGAGTCACCAGATTGTCTTTCATGTGTTTCTTGCGCTATTTTCTTTGCTGCCAACTGGTGTAACTTGGTAGGATGAGAAAGAGCAGCTGTTTCATCTGGACTTGGAACTGGGCAGTGGAAGACCCCAACTGACTGGCTTCTATGGCGAGCAGGCAGGCATTGCTTCCAGCCTGGAAAAGAGCTGACGGTAAAGCTGGGTTTGGGAGAAACTGTGTTGTGATCAGGAAGCAAAACTTGGCCAATGCTGTCTTGTAGCTGGGCAGACCGTCCCCACACCAGAGATGGCAGTGTTCCTGTTTCAGACTCAATGGTGGGAACTGGTGCTGAATTAAGATGGGAATGCCTGTGTGCTCTGAAGATGACCCAGAAAAGGCTTCTCTTCGTTAAGTGTGTAGTTCTTCCATCACATATCATATGTAGTATTTCAAAAGCTTTTTTTTTTTTTCTGTTGTTCACTGAGAGGGAAAATATTGTGTTAGAGACACTGGGCTCACCTGCAAAGAGAACAGAACCATTGCAGGTCGTTCTGGGCATAGGGTTTGGTTTTGCTCCTTGTGCAGTTAGGTGTCAAACTTCAGACACACCGACACTAGGCTTGGGCTCCGGACCCCTCAGTGTGGCCAGTTGTCCTGAGTGGAGTCTGCCGCAGTTTTAAGCAGGCTTCCAAGGTGCAGGGAGGCAGTTCTGCCCCAGAGGTTGGGTGATATGGCCTGAGGGCTGGAGGTACAGGAAGGGAACAGGAAAACCAGAAGGGCTTCTCCCTCCCTGAAGGGAGGTTTTCAAACAGAAGGTCTGTTTTTAAAGAAAAAGCAGGAGCTCAAAGGCCCTGTTTGAAAACCTGATTTTGGGAAGGCTGCTGTATCGGCTGGGCAGGGGAGTGACTGGAGTTGCTTCTCATGAACACAGCTCCTGTTTTCCTCCACGAGTCAGGCTCAGCTTAGGTTTGCATCTTGTCTGAGCTGCAGGAAAATAAGCAGAAATTAAAATGGTGGCAAAAGGCATTTGAAGGGGAACTCGTACCACACCATGGCATTTCTGATAGAGAGGGAAAAGGCACAAGTCTTCTGTAAAGGTCAGAGCCCCTCCTGAAAGGAGAAACAGTTGAGAAAAACTGTCAAAACTAGTGTAAGTAGAAAGCTTTCAGCCAGCCCTTTATCTTCTGTGGGCCAAAATTTGTTCTCAGGCAGCTGTGTTATAAATCCAGAGCATCTCCAGCCAACGGCGGGTTGTCATTGGACTGCTGAAGGCCTCCTCCTTGTACCTGTGTCATTAGCGGGAAGCTTTCCTGGAGGGACATGCTGAGGGTGGCCTAAGGGCAGAGCAGCGTAAGGCGCAGGGCTCCCCAGCAGCCTATCTGGGGAGCTCCTCCTAGGTAAGGGCAGGAGGGGACAGTCTGGAGAACATGCAGGTGAAGATCCTCTTACATGGGCACACACACTCAAGGCATATGGAGCACAAAATAGTGATTTGTTTTAAGGGTGTTTTACTGTAAATAGTCCACTGTGACTTTTTTTTAAAATCGATTAATGCTTTCAGTTTATCATTTTATATTTTGTAATTTTATCAAAGGAAAAAAAGATTATCTTTTCTTTCTCTCCTTTTCCTATATGCAATCCAAACTGAACTTCAGGTTTTTGGTGATAACTCTGTACATTTCTTAGAGTATTTCTAACAGCACATTTCAGTACAACTAAATGACAACTGATATACGCTGAAACATGACCACTAAATAAAGTGCTTTTATGGAGAAAGTGAGTTTTATTTTTGTCCCCTACCCCATGCATAGCTTTCTGATGGCAAAGGCAAAACAAAAGGTGAGTATTTACAGTGTCGTGATTAAAATTAACACTTAAGGAAGCCAGGGACTATTCAGCCATGCAGATACACTTATTGTAACAGTGCTAATCAGCAGGCTCCTTCTAGGAGGATCACACTCATTACACAGCCCAGAAAGGCATCCAGACTAGCTGTCTCACAGCCTTACCTGCTACCATCAAAGTTTTAGAAGGGCAATGCTGGCATGATGTGGTTTCCTCCCAAAATGTCCGTCTCTTGCTTGTTCTCTACACAGCAGCCTCCCTCAACAGAGACAGCTGTAGGTGTAGGTCACAGCTCAGGAAGGCAACACACACGGTAGTATTCTATTTCGGCCACCCGTGAGGGCAAGCTCAAGTGCAGCCGTGCAGAAATGAGTAAGCAGCTTGTGACACCCATGCACAAGTGCCAGCAGCAGGGAACTGGGGTTTCAGACTGCCTCTGCCTCCACTATGACTAGGTATAACCTAGCTGTGGCTCTCACTCCTGCACCCCCACTGAGCCCCTACTGAAATTGTAAGACGGTCAGGGAGGTGATACAGCTTCCTTGGCAGGACAGGGTTGTCTGCCTTAAAGAAAGGACCAGGGAGGGCGAAAGCAGGAAAACAAAGTGTTCACAGGTTTAAAAACCAGCCTTTAGGTGCTGGGATCACTGGTGATAGACAGGAAGGCTAAATACTGGGATGGAGTGAACACAATGAAAGCAAAGTTGTGCTTTTATTTACTACATTAGGAAAAGCTCCATGACCATCTTACATAAATTGGCACAATTTAGGTAGGGTGGGTGAAAAGGTCAGGGGTTTAATTCTCATTAAATGCAGCAGGATGCGTCCCTCAGGAGCAGTTGTTTGTCAAGGTTTGCTCACAGCTGACCAGTGCTATGAACGTGTGACAGGGTGATGTTGGCTACTGAGGGGAGCTCCACAGTTTAGTGCTAAGGGAGATACTTCAGAAAGGCGGTCAAGGTGACTTTGGTGTTCAGCCAGTTGGATCCCATAGCCCAGTACCACGATGCAGCAGTGAGGTGGGTCTAGAATTTAATTTTTAAAAGCCATATTTATATATACTCTACTCCATTCTGGTAGGCTGGCTGTGTAGCTCTAACAGCTTCCATATGCAAGTTTTACTGTTTTGTACCTAGACCTGCTGTGGATATAGCCAAGATTTAAGTTGTTCCTGGTCTAAAGAGCTTGCCTGCAGCAAGGGCTGGCTTTTTCTGTGGCAGCCCAAACCTACTGTATTATAGCCCACATTTGGCATTTTCCTTTGGGCATCCTAACACCCCTAACTTTTTGAAAGTTTTGACTTAGCCAGCAACCCCGTCTGCAGGGAGAAGCTCATATCCCCTCATGGTTCCTGGAAGTCCCTCTGGGACAGGGGGACATACACCTTGTTTGCAGGCTGTTTCTAAAAATGACGGAGCTCATGGTGGGGCGTCTCAGCACCAGATTTCAATGGGCGAGTCTGAAGGAAGCATTCCCTGAGCTAATTGCTAGCTGGGAAAGGGGAGCAACAGTCGGGCTCATGGGTGCTGCTCCTCACCCTGTTCCCAGCTCCAGCTGGCTGCTGCAGGCCTCTGTCCTACTGCACAAGGGACCCCACACCATACACTCCATTCCTATCTGCCTGCACTAGTTGCGGGTCCAAGACATGATGTGGGTTTGGCTTTAAATTCTGATTATAGACAAAATTACCTAACATTACACAAGGACAATTCAGGTGAAGCACAGTCTTCTGTGCATGCACCACTTTTCCTAAGTGGAGGAAGGCAGGAAAAGTTCGGTGAAAGATGAGATGAGGCTGTAATACGATTTCTCATCGTCCGTCAGTCCTGCGTTGCCTGGTCTGATCACCACAGCCACGTGAGTATCTGCTTCCTCGGCCGCGTTGGCTTCTGAAACAGAGGTGGGGAGAGTGGAGATGAGATGTGCTGACCAACCTCTCCATGAGGGTCTTTAAAGACCTCCACAGCAGGCTTGAAGATGCCCCAAAACACTGAAGTGCTTTTAAAGTTTGAGACTGAGAGACCAGCATTTGCACATGGTGCTGCAGGGCTCTAGAGGGGGACCAGCTCCCAGCAGACCTGCTGCGGATGACTGTAGCTGCTGCGTAATGCAAGCAGATGGGAGCTGGCTGCCTTGCCATCTCCTCCCCTCTCCCAGCTGATGGCTGTCCAAGGCACCATGCAGGCAGCACGCACTGGCAGCTCGATTCCTGTCATGAAGAAGCTGGGCTGTGGCATTAGCGAGTCCAACACCCCCCCGCCAGGAGTCACTTCTCACAAGCTTCCTTCGTTCCCCGAACGCAGCAAGATGATACAGGGAAAAGGAGGTAACTGCAAGCTCCCACCAGCTCTGCTGCCAGGGCTGGAGAGGAGGTAAGGGCTAACTCCTGGGGACTGAGCTGGCTTAGACTGAGATCACAACCCAGTGCCTTTTCTGCCAGAAAGACGTTCCCAGCAAAGGCAGGAAATTAAATTAGCTTCCCGAGCCGGGCTTTCCAGGGGTCA